AAATGTTGTAAAACATGTTTAGAATTTATTTTGATCAAATACTTGTTTCTAATTTTATCATTTTGAAACACATTGTATACAAGAGCATATGCACGCAAAATATCAATGCTGCATATAATTTGCAAGTGATTATTTAATTTCTTTATCTTACAAGTGTTCAGTTTTGCACTAAAATCTGTTATAAAAAAAAACCTTAGTTTATTTCATAGTTTTTTTTGCTCAAGTTTGCTATAGGAAGTCTTTAGTTTGGTCCATATGTATACCAACACAAAACTCCTTTTTCTTTATAGTGAAATAGTTCATAAAGAATTTGATCATTATGAAATTATTTTTAACTAACAGATGTACCAATGCCAGTTAAGTTAGATTGAGAGTAATTTATCTAACAACAGAAAGAATGATACCGCTGTAATCCTACTCTAAAAACACTGCAAAAATTTATGATCCATGGTCATACATTTTTCAGTCTGATGTGATATGGAACCCACATAAAAAAATTCGATAGAAAAATAAATTACTTCTCTCTCATTACATCAGCAACAATGGCACACAGTTTTTAATGATTTTTGTCTTTCTAATCAAATGGTTGTAGAAGCTAAAGTTCCATCCAATATATCACCTATATTCAATATTAGTTGATTAAATGTGGCATAAAATGGATCATAATTGATTATAAATCAATAACATGAACATAATAAATAAATAAATAAATAAACAGGCATTCTTCTTTATATATATATAGAGAGAGAGAGAGAGAGAGATTTTGAAAAATATACAAATTTCAGATTAGCAAACTGTACAGTTTGAAAGCGAGCAGTAGCAACACTTTTCGAAATAAAGCATTTTTATCTCCAATGCGTGAGACTGTTGCCACTAGGTTAAATGAGTGCGAAAATTAACGCTTTCAGACTTTTTAATTAATATTCCAGCTGATTAAAGTTGTATAAAGATGGAAATAGTTGAAATGGTTGAATTTTTGGAATCGGGAATAATGTATTTAATGTTTGGCAATGCTATGTTTATTTCATTGTAAAACTTAGAAATATTTTACTAACCAACTCTAGGATTTGAAAGCGAGCAGTGGCAACCACTTTTGAAAAAAGCATTTTCATTTCCAATTTTAGACTGTTGCCACAGGGGAAAAACAGTGCAAAATTTATCGTTTTTTCCGAGTTTTAATTAATATCTCTGATTTTACTTTTTCCTGGAAAAAATGGATGTCGACCTTTTCCAGGACCCCCCCCCCCAAAAAAAAAAAAAAATTGTAAAGTTGGCAAGGATAGCTATAGTAGTGACTGAGTTATGAGAGGGCAAACACACATTTTTTTTCTTCTTTATAGATAATAACAGATTTTTATTTATTTGGCAGCAAATATTTTCTTTCATAATATTTTTAAAACAATCTAGGCATTTGAAAGCGAGCAGTGGTAACAACTTTTGAAAAAAAGCAGATTTTCATTTCCAATTTGCGAGACTGTTGCCACAGGGGAAAAAACAGCGCAAAATTTATCGTTTTTTCCGAGTTTTTAATTAATATCTCTGATTTTAGCTACTTTTTCCTGGAAAAAAATGGATGTCGACCTTTTCCAGGACCCCCCCCCCCCCCCAAAAAAAAAAAAAAAATTGTAGAAAGTTTGGCAAGGATAGCTATAGTAGTGACTGAGTTATGAGAGGGCAAACACACAGATTTTCTTCTTTATATATATATATAACAGATTTTTTATTTATTTTCAAAAATTCATGTACAAATAATTTCTCTTTCCTACTGCCAATTAAAAAAAGTTTTAAAAAAAATCAAACAAAAAATGTTCATAGTCTTCAATAAAAAAAAAAAAAAAAAAAAAAATACTGGACTATATACTGAGCAATGAATGAATGAATAATTTACCTGAAAAATTAAAACTGCCACTTTCAAACTAACAAAATATTTTTTTTATATTTGTTTAAATCTTAACAAATGGCTATAAACTCAAATTACTGAACATAAGGTAAAAAATTTATTCTTCAGAATTATACAAACCATATTATGAAAAATGACAAGACACATTACACAAATATCTGATAAAATATTTATTAAAAATAATTACAAATATAAATCTTTGAAAACTGGACGGAATTATTTACCGAATCCACCATAAAATGCTTTCAAAATAAACAGGCAGAATTCCTGTTTTTAAACTGTATAGGCAAACATTAATTTACATATTTGTAGTTTTTCTCTACTAACAGGAACAGAAGACAAAAAAATGGACCTTCAAAACTTACCAAGTATTAAAACAATAGCCCCCAAAAGTGTAAAAAAAATATAGCTATGGAGCAGACAGTAAAAAAAATATAGCTATACATCATATTACTTTTTAAAAAAAAAAAAAAAAAGGGAGTGTAGTTATCAACAAATGCATTAAATTAGTACAAAAAGTCACAGTTATCAACAAATGCATTAAATTAGTACAAAAAGTCACTCACTTAATAACATACTCTCAGACTCTGAAATTCATGTGATTATTTATACAAGTATAATACATAAAATAATAACAAAGTTAATAAGGTGGCAACTAAGTTTATCAATTAAGAAACTTGAAGAATTAGTTTGAAGGTACTTCTTTGGAGGGGGGGAGGCGAAGATATTATTTCAGAAACCTATACATTTACCATTAAAAAGAATGACAGGAAATTTTAAATGATAACAAACATAAGATAATTTAGTACACTCATGACAGTTTTATAAAATGTATAAAATAAATTAGATTTCAATTAAATATTTTTAATTTGTTAAATTATTGTAATTAAACTATCAAAAATTTCCCAATCTATATAAGAGCATCTTCACAAATTATACATAAATGTGCAAACTTGTTAAAAATCTAAATCCTGCAATGAATTAAAAAATTGGAAAATTAAATATAAAGCATTAAGATTATGAACTATCCTAATTTAATACATTTTTCACAAAACAAAAAATTACACTAAAAATAAGTTAGCATCATAGATCACAGTTAATAGATGAAAAGTTCTGATTATGGAAATAAAGAAATGCTTAAAAATCTCTAAATTTGTCGTAGCTGAAAACTGATTATTTCATCATAATAGAAAAAATCATTAAACTTAAAGAACTTTGTTGCAAAATTTCATAACAAGATGAAAAACAAGCTTATAATTACTACTGATAAAAATATAAAAGCACAAAACCTTGTAGTTCATAAAATACACCATACATTCAGGTATATATTTGAAAAACAAGTTTCTATTTCATTTATTTATTTGATCACCAAAAAATTGCACCTTAGTAATTTCTTGAAAGTGCAATTATATATAATCATCTAAACACACGAAGGCATTATTTTGCGATTGTTTATAATTTGCGATAAAAATGCATAAGATTATTGTTTTAGAATATATAAGATTGTTTTAGGATATATAAGTAAGATTGTTGTTTTAGGATATATACAGCTACATAACCATTGTATTGTCCAATGACGACTGTATTGAAACTTTCAGTTCAATTATTTTCTGTATGTTGCATCATTTTTACCAGACATATACATATTGTTAAATATTATGTTTAACGACAATGAAATGTAAATAAAAATTTATGTGTACTATAAATCTTTCTCAAATCATATTAAAGTATTTTAATTTATAAAATTACATTATAGCAAACAATGTGTACAATATATAAAAATGACTAAGCTATAGTTCACACCTCAGAAAATTTTACTCCATGAACTTATCTTTTTCAGATTTCATCTTCCAAATATAAATTACAGTTGAATACAAAAGGATGATGAAGATGGGCACAAGGTTTTATAAATATACCATTCAATTTATGATTACAAGTCAAATTCAGTAGAAGTTTAACATTTAACTGATCAACAGCTTTCTTAAAGGATTAGAAATTTCAATTCATTTTTGTATGAAAAATTTTTAGCTTTAATTCAGCATATTTTAAAATTGTTACTTTAAACAATTTGATTAAAAACAGCATCAAAACAAATAACACCTAAGTTTTATCCCCAGAAACAAATGCTTAATATAAGTGCTATTTACTTAACAAATTAGGCCCGGATCAATATTAAATTAATACAATTCAAAGATACAGAATTTTTGCTACTTTTTCTAGAGATTTAATATACTAAAATCTGCACTATACTTATATCAAAATTCTTAATACAGATTTCTAACACAATACAAAAGTTTAAGAACTATTTTTTTAAATTTCTCTATTCATTCTAATTTATTTTTTAATTCAAAGAAATTTTTAATGCTGTTTTACAATGCATTTAACACTAATCAAAAATTAAAGTGCCTGAATTTATTCTTTGCACTTTAATCTATGAATGTTTTAGAAATATCCATAATTTTTTATTTGTTAAGTTTTTAATATACAAATCAAACTGTTAAAGTATGATTTGCACAAGCAACATAAAATGTTCACAGGAACAGCTCTATCATATAGCTTTCAGTTTGAAAAATATATATTTCTATAATTAACAATGTAAGAATTTAAATATTTTACTACCTAAATACAATTGGCTATATAAAAAAAAGATTATAAAAACACTGATGAAATACACCAATTAACAAAAAGCTGGACATACACAAGAACACAAAGGTACTGAAATACATTTAGCAAGCAGATTAAGCATGACTGCTTTGATTTTCCAGTACTATTACTCTTCCCTGAATGTATCACAGTTCTTTCAGGTGAAGGAACACAGAATAATCTTTATTTTGCATCTAGAATGCAGATCTCACCGAGGGCCAGCTCGATGCTCATGAGGATTTCACAACTGAAGCAACATAAACACAAAAAGCACAAAACTTAAAACAGACCAGTATTGCACAAAGGGCTGTCTCTTCTTGAGGAATTAGTAGTGTTAGAGCATATTACAGTGGTCAGGGATGTATAATGCAGGTAGTTAGTGACACATTACACAGTAACAGTCAGAGTCTAATCATATCACAATGTGATCAAAAGTACCGGAACTCTCCTTTCTTACCCTGGCGCTCACGGCGTACCCAATCAGCAGGCGCTGGACGAGAAATACCAGATGATGGAGACCGTGATGCTTCCTGAGATCGGGTAGTACCTTCATCAACATAATGTTCTTTTGAAGGAGAACCCTCCTGAATACATGAAAAAAAAAAAAAATTTTAAGAAATTTAAGAAAATTAAAATTTTGATGAAAGAGGACTGTATAAAAAGATTTTAAGTTTAATTTTTGTGCCACATATGCACATATATACATGGTGTAAAAAGATTGAGTAACAAAATGCCACAAAAGTAACATATTCATAATACAGTGTGTGATACAATGTGCAGATAAGTACAAAAAGTTGTTTTAATCACAAATATTTACAAGAAATAATGTCAGTAACTAACAGGAATTATTCAAATGAATGATCATCAGCTGCAATATGCCAATTACAGTCAAAAGTCTTTAATCTGGACTCGTTGGGACTTCGGCGATTCCGGATTATAGATCACCAGTTTAAATCTGGTAAGATGGCATGCAGAAATTATAAAATTAAAAATATGAAAAACAGTAATTTATGAAAATAATGAGCAATTATGATCTAAAGGGTATCAAAATTTACAAAAAAAAAGCTTAATATTTATTTGTTTACTTTATTAAACATTTCTTTCAACGCGCGCATGCGTAAAGCATACATTACGCATAGTCGAAATTAGAAAATTGCAGCCAGAAAACTATTTGATGTGTATTCGTGATATTTATAATGACCAGGAATTTGATTTAAATCATATCATAGATGGAGTACATCGATACAAAATTCGTAAACGTATTATGCGCATGCGTAAAGACACGTAAACGCATGTAATAATCTGAGGTCCGGATTATAGGTCATTTTGGATTATGGGCGTCCGGATTAAAGACTTTTGACTGTATAATAATGATGGAATGAATGATGCACACTTTAACCATGTCACTGTTCCCGACACATACTCATTGATATGAAAAGTGTTTGTTAGCAGCCTTTAATGATTTTAATAATTCAAATGCTATTAAAGGTAATGGCTGTCTTATATTCCCAAATAACTGTGTAATATATATGTACACACACATGTTGCGTTAGAGTTCAAAGCACTTTCTAAATCTATGTCTGTCACAAGGGAAATGGTGAAGTGGTAAAAGGCAGTGCCAATTTCTGCAGTAGGAACACTAATTCTAGGAATAAAATCCTAAGGAAAATTAATCAGCATCTTGTAAACAAGTTATCTTATCATGACGTTACGGACTGCAGATGCTGGCTGTTAATTCGGACACTTCTTGTAAATATCAATGACTAAAATAACTTTTCATTCTCCATGTTTCTCATATTTGCTGTGTTTCTGTATTCATATTTTCATATTTCCCATTCTACCACACATTCTACTGCAAAAATCATTACTTTTGCTATGATCTTTAAAGATGTGACTATCAATTCTGTTACACCGTGTTTACACAAATACATGTAAATAAAATTTGAAACCAGTATATAAATTCTTTTTAATTAAAAAAAATTCTCTTAACAAAATTTTCTTACCTAAAATAGCTATAATAGAGCAGAGCATACTTTTAATGTGTCACCTTTAACTTGGATTTTTTTTAAACTTTTTTAAAAATGAGATTACAGTTTTATCAACCTGGAAGATATTCCTCTACGTGAAATAAACTTAATATATCCTGTAACTCACCAATCTCTCAGATGGAAGACAAAAGTATTCATTAAAAATATGGATGTCTCCTAGCCATTTCAAATTCACAAGGCGAAAGGATGTGGATTACATAATTATTCGCATTTTACTTGTACAATCAAAAGTCTTAAGTTTTGTACAGTCAAAAGTCTTTAATCCGGACTTGTCAGGACTTTGGCGATTCCGGATTATCGGTTTTTCCGGATTACAGATCATCAGTTTAAATCTGGTAAGATGGCATGCAGAAATTATAAAATTAAAAATATGAAACCGTAGTTTATGAAATAAAGAGCAATTATGATCTAAAGGGTATTAAAATTTACAAAAAAAAAAAAAAAAAAGGCTTTATATTTATTTGTTTACTTTATTAAACATTTCTTTCAATGTGTGCATGCGTAAAGCATACATTACGCATAGTTGAAATTAGAAAATTGCAACCACTGATGTGTATTCATGATATTTATAATGATGAGGAATATGATTTAAATCATATCAAAGACGGAGTACATCGAGATGAAATACTACATTTAGTACGGAATAATAAGGCGAATTAAATAAAAACATCTGCCCTGAAGATAAGGATAGTGCTGACAGATCAACTTCCAATTCATTGCGCGCCGTGCCGCATTTCAATTCAAACAACTTTCTAAGCCTTTACTATTATTCTCAGTCAGTCTGCAATGAAATGAATAAGCATAGCACAGATATGTAAGTGTCACAACTCGAACGCAAAATGAGCGAAAGTTCGATTCGGCCAGTTCTTTTATAACTTGTGTACAGATTTAAGTTTTAAAAAGCTGAACTTGTGCATATATTTTGGATATACCTGAATGAAGAACCCAATCATTCAGGTAAGTGCTATTTTGCTTACCTACTTTTGGAATGCTTTACGCGTTGATTAATATTGTCTATTGAATTGACACAATAGGGGGGATAATCCCCATCTTTTGACTTAAAATTAATCATGAATTATGTAAATATTGTAATATAACAGATGTGTGTAAATAAATAGTCATAAAGACTAACTTTGCAGTCATGGTTCGAATGTCAATTGAACATCGAGCTATCCCAATAGAAACTTCGACATAATAGAACTTGTGGATTAGAAACAACAGTAAGCATAATCAAAGACAGTGATTTCAACAACATACATTACCCAGATACTAAATTTCAAATTTGCATTCTTTAAATGCTTGATTATTTATAAGCTTCCCCTCTTTTTATAGAGACCACATTGGTATTTTATTATATATTAACAATATAGTAAATATCAACATCAATATATTGCACATGAAATAGAGAAAATGTAGTAGTAGCTTACAGTGTTCACATTAAGCAGTTTACAACTTTTCAAGAAAACAAAATACATAATCACGATTCCTTCTCCCTCCATTCAGTAAAAGGGGGAAAAAAGACTAATTACATAAATATACTATTAAATTTTTTGTGGTATATTCATTCTTTAAATAGATACTCAGCTTTTCCTAATGATGAAAAATGGTTCAAATATAAAAATAGAATAAAAAATTTATTTTCTTCTATTTTTATACAGGGATTTATACTGTTACTAAAATTTATCAGTTTTTGTAACATAGTATGAATAATTTTGAACTTGCACAGTGGTGTAATAACTTTCTCCAGCACATAAGTAATAAAATTATTACTAATTAGTGCTGGAGAAAGTTATTACAGCACTGTATAAGTAATAAAATTATTAATAATTAGTTATGAAAACAAATGCTTAAGATTTTAAATACATAATATAATCTTTCTCTAGCCCTGATAAGTAAGAAAATTATTAATGATGAATTATGAAAACAAATGCTTAAGATATGTCTTAATACTCACAGTGCTATAATAACTTTCTCTAGCACTCCTTGATCCATACACTGGATTGTTGAATATGTCATCATCTAGAGAAGGATATGGTGTCACTATTGTGTGTGGCACGTGAGCTATTTGACCTCTCATATTTCTAGCTTTCCACCATTTCCGACTATCATCTAAAATCTAAATTAAAAGAAATTTTTTTAAAATTCATTCAAATTTTCCCATCCAAATTTGTATGTATGGAAGTAATTCCATACATACAACAACGGGAAAAAATATTACAACCTAAAGCAACAGTATAAGTTGAAAATTACAACATTTAAAAAAAATTACAAATTATATTATTACAAAAAGCTTAAAGTTGCATATTGTATGAGGGAAAAAACATTTAAAAAATATTATGACTTCAAATGAAACTGACAGATACCCAAAAAAATATAACTGCTTAAAACTGCTTTCTTTTCTAAATCTGTATACAACCTCTCCTTTAAAACTAAATACGTAATGCCACCAAAAAATTATACATTAATTTTATCAACAATTACAACTACCACATCTATTATTCCTGTAGTTAAATCCCTTTGCATCTGCCATGAGATATTATTATATAACATGGTAACATTAGAAAGGTACTTTTATAAGTTCACATATAAATATTAATGACGCTGCATAAATCATCTTATTTTTTAACAATTTAAGATAAAAAATTAAATGTCTGAATTAGAAGTAATAATCAGCATTCAAGATGGGTGTTGGTGCCAGCACATTAGGTATGGTAATTTTATTCATTTTAATATGGAAGAAATTCCATACATGCAAAAACAGGAAAAAATATTAGAACATAAAGCAACCACATAAGTTAAAAATTACAGCATGCAGGGGTTCTCAACCAGGGGGGGGGAATTTCATAGCTTCAGGAGAAAAATGCAGTCAACCTTTAATTCAGCTATTTAGTTCTAGTTTATGAATATAGAAAACTTCAAGTTTTAGTATCTATCAGCATTGCTTTGTTTTTTTATGTTTAATATATTAAAAAAAATATCTAAATCTAAAAAAAGGTATTAATGTGTATATATGTGATATTTCAGCAGTCATGGTGAAGCTTGGCATCAAAGTTCAGGCATTTTTTTAGCAGAGTGGTAAGCTGATATAAAAAGACGACACAAATTTATTTAGCTTTTAATTGTCCATTTTTATTTAATCCAATTAGCAGATCATTTTCATTTTATATGAGACTCTCTAAATTACATATCCATAGTGATTTTAACTAAGTAGGATTGAATTTAAACTTTCTGCGTCATAATTAATTCTAACAAAGGAAAGAAAGATGGACAGAGCAGCGTGGAGTCTTGTAGCAGCGATATTAAGAAGCAGTCTAACTGAAAAATGGCACGTACTCAGTATTTATAGTAGCGGTTACGTAATAGGCTAGCAAATTCTAGAAGGTACTTGTCTAGGGAAAAGATCCTAGACTGCAAAAAATTAATTAACGGTCGCGAAAAGCAAAGCCATTGTATATTTTTAAAATTTTACATATATATATATATATATTGTGTGTGTATAAACATATATATATTTCAAGTTTTAAAAAAGCGGTGGCATGGGGCAAAACAGAGCGAGAATCATGCGTATCTGTTATTTTACGACCAATTAAGTTTTTACTTCTTATTAAAGAATTTTATTTCTTTAAGATATAATAATAAGAAAAAAATTAATTATTATTAGAAACTAAATGACTTAGTACTAAGATCTTATATAATAATATACGAGGGTTGGAACTTTAATAGTGGCAACTATTTATTTACAAGGAATACAAAAGTGATTCATGTCACCATGTTTTACAGTCCTTCAATATAGTCGCCAGCATTGTGTACAGCCCGTTTCCAATGATGTGGAAGTCGCAGAATACCTGTAGCAGCACCTGTTTTGTTGATGGTTTGAATGGACCGGTCTACTGCCGCAAGAATCTCAGGAACAGTTTGGAAGCGAGTGCCACGAAGTGGTTCCTTCATCTTAGGAATTAAGTCATAGTCACAAGGGCTTAGATCTGGGGAGTATGGTGGATGGTAAAGCACTTTCCAGCCCCATCACTTGAACAAATCAGTCACAGCTTGCGCTGCATGCGGCCGAGCATTGTCATGCAAAATGAGAGGAGCATTCTGCAGAAAGTGTCGCCGTTTTTTTTTTCTCAAAGCTGGCCGGAGATTGTGCTCCAAAAATGAGTAGTAATACTGCACAGTGACGGTCTGCTGTGGAGGAACGGTATGCGTTAGGATGACACCATCACAGTCGTACACGAGAATCACCATAACTTTCACACTGCTGGGGTTCTGACGAAATTTCGAACGTCGTGATGACGCCATTCGTTTGATTGGCGTTTCAGTTCTGGCTGGTACGATCGGGCCCAAGTCTCATCCAGCGTAATGATACGGCGTAAAAAAGCATCTCCATCGCGCTCATAGCGCTCTAGGTGGTTCGGGCAGCATCATATCGTAGTCATTTCTGCATTTCCGTCAATTGATGTGGAACCCATCGTGAAGCAATTTTTCTCATGGACAGGCATTCCTTCAGAATGTGCAGCACAGTCGTATGCGCTAATCCTGTTTGTCTGGCCAGCTGACGAATCGTTTGGCGGCGATTACTGTCCATTAGTGCGGTAACAGCTTGCGCGTCTGCATCGCTGACACTCGGACGACCTGGCCGCAGCATGTCTGCCATGTTTTGCCGTCCTTCATTGAATGCTTTTACCCATCTTGCTACAGTTCTGTAAGGCAATGCAGATTTCCCGCAAGTCTCTTGAAGCCCTTGATGACACTGTCGTGCTGTACGACCTCTGGCACATTAAATTTTTATCCAACATCGTTGTTCTTGTTTTGAAAACATCCTGACAACGCTTACTTTAGACCGCGAGCTAATACAAGGATCCGTTCTTCACATCACTCCGCATGCACGTGACTTAGGCAGGGACGAGTCTTTTTGCTGAGAGGTAAGGTAGGTATGTAGTTTACGTGTGGTATATGCGATGTTCTTTGGTTTTGTTGCGTAGCATTTTTTTTCAGCTGTGTTGCCACTATTAAAGTTCCAACCCTCATATAATATTCTTATAATTAGGCTTACAATTTTTTTAGGGGATCCAATGCAAGACACAATTTTTAGATTACTTTAAAAGTCTTAACAGATCATTGAAACACTAAACTTTACTTATTCAATTGTATTTTGCACTAGATATTAATTTTTTTCAGAAATCGTTTGTTTTAATTACATCATAAAATAACAAGCAAGAAAGTTCTGAATTAATTTTAACATTTAGCACATGTTTAACAGTAGACACTGAAAGTCCACCCCTTTCTGCAGGCCAAATGTGAATAAACTCTCTCAACTGGAGCAGAAATCCCACGCAAAGACATTGCAAACTCAACTATTTTAGAAATATTGCAACATGAAACACCAGTCTGTTGAAAGACCTTAAAAATTGTTTTCCACTTCTCTTTAATAGTATCTGGTACTTTCTGAGAATTAGAACGTACTCTTTGGTTTTCAATTACCTATTGCAAAAATGCATGTTCATCAAAATTAATGAAATCTTTCATAATTTCATTAACAACTTATGCACTCTCTTCTAATTAGACCAGGAATTTCAGTTCATAAATTTATCCACTAAAACTTACTAACTTTACCCAAATTGGTTTTCGAAGTACTGGATACTAGAACTATAAAAATTGTCTATTCTTGAGAAGAATTTTTGCTCCCGAACATCATTTTCTTTTAGAATGCATAGTGATACTTTGGCAGAAGATGGTATAAATTTGTCGGGCTTTTTTTTCTGAAGCACCAAATTCAGAATATTTCTGAAATCCTTCTGTTGCTCTGATAGAATTATCTTCTAATTTCAGAACTACATCATTAAATAACTGTACAGTACCATATCAAAATTTTAAAACAGTTTGCCTTCTAGATTAAAAAAAAAAATAATAATAATTTTGGGATTTGTCACAAGATGAGAAGTATGGTTTGAGTCAATTAGAAATGGAAAGAATTCTTTCTATTGCAGGTACCAAACTAAGAAACCTTGTGCTCCTATGAGATAATACTTTTTTGTAATCTGTTTTCACAAATTCACGGAACTCTTTTAAATTTCATTACTCTTACTGTATATATGTGATAATATTTATAAATTTTTATAACAATAACTTTTATGTTCACCTTTGCCAGCCTATTCTAATATCGCAACCCATAAATTTTATTTTCACTTAGTGATAAAAACAACCAAAGAAGTTATTGAAATAATGAATGGTTGCATATTGGCACAGATGGCTGCAAGAATGCCAGTTCTTACTCAAATATTCATCTCACCCTCAAAAGTGAACTATTCTTCACCACAAACCATAACACTAGACCATACCTGGAAATGAGGTGGCAGATGATCTGGCAAAGAATGGTACCAAACTAAAACAAAGTACTTCCTGTAAAACATCTTGTAAGATCATAGATAACAAGATTTTCTAAAATCATACTAAAAACTACAAAATGGAGCAAAAACTGGACAATTTACCAGACTGCCCTTGAGACAGTGCAGTAGCTGCATTTCGACTAGCAACTGGACTGCTTGGCTCCCTTTTTGAACAAAAATGGAATTTTTGATAGTCCTGAGTGTGCCCTTTACAAGTTTTGTTTCATGGAGGAAGATCACCTCATTTGTCTTACTTTAAGACACAGTTCTATATTTAAATGTCATTGAGAAGCTGAAGATCACAAGATTTTTAGTATTTAATTTCTAGCTCTGCTATAGTATTCTACATGTATCTCACCTTCTCACTGCCTAAGGCATTTTATGCATTGAAAAAAAAAGGGGGGGTCTTTTTCCTGTGATTTGGAAAATAAACCATATATGTTTTCTTTATTAAGAATATTTTTTTTTTCTATTTTCCAGCACAATAACATTTACAACATAAATACAAAGTATAAGAATTTTTAATGTCAACCTTACTAAGGTTTAGAATTTTTTTTTTTTTTTTTTTATTTCGCTGCAGGCACTTCCCAGTTCATATGTATTTAAAAATCATCTTCATGAGATTTTAAACTTACTTCTAAAATTTCGCCTCTAATAACAGTCAATTCTTTCTCATTGTTTGCAGTCCTTGGATATACCACTTGAACAATTTTTGCTCTCCTACTTTTAAGATCTTCAAGCCACTGCATTTGCTGTCGATCAAACTGACGCTCAGGGCTCAAAGGCAGCTCAGAATGTTCGATAGAATCAGAGCTAAATTCTGATCTCATATCTCTGTCCCTAGGATCATGAAAATCTGATTCAGGAGACATAGCATTTCCTCTATAAGGGTAAAGAAAAACAAAAGTTAGTCAATTATTCTGCTGAATAACTGCCTGTGTTATTCATCGTTTAAAGAGAACTTTATACAATAGTTTATAAGGGAAATTGTGAACTATTAACAGTCTTTCAATTAATATGCTTCAGATGATAATGAAAAACAAATTAAAAAAAAAAAGGAAAATTTTGCTATTTGGTTTTTTGACAGAAATTTTATTTTTGTAAAAGCACCTTAAAATATAAATAATTCTAACATAATTAGACTACATTTTTCTTTTGACATCTTTTCTTCCTTACATGACAACCATAAAATATTTTAAAAAGTAATAAGCTAATCATTTTTAAAACAAAATAATTCTTTTATTAATCTTGTCACACTATTACAGTAATTTTCAAGGAAATATTTATTTAATTGTTTAATAATAAAGATTATTTTAAAAACCTAGCAATTAAATTAAATACATTAAATTTAGAGAATTAATTATAATTATATTATATTATATATTTTTCACTTTAAAAAATTTAATAAAATTTTCAAAGATATTTTGGACTGCAAGTGAACCTACCCTGACAGCTTTATTCATGATATTTTATGCTCATTATAATTTAGCTCTTATAACCAGATACAAAAATGCCACAAAAGCATTAGAATTCTATCTCCCTTTCTTCACTTCTAAATACTTTATTAAATCATTAAACAAAATCTGATCATAATTAAAGAAGGCTGAGGAAAATCAATTTTGGCAAGATGTCCTACCAGAAAGTAAAAAAGGCCCTTTTTTTAGATGTTATATATGCTTGCAATATCTAAAGAAAAAATTGCATAAAGAAAAGACATACTTTATTACAGTACAAAAGTGGACTCGTCCGGACTTCAGCGATTCTGGATTAAGGGTTTTTCTGGATTATAGACCATTAATTTAAATCTGGTAAGATGGCATGCAGAAATTATACAATTAAAAATATGAAACTGTAATTTATGAAATAAAGAGCAATTATGATCTAAAGGGTATCAAAATTCACAAAAAAAAAAAAAAGCTTAATATTCATTTGTTTACTTTATTATCCCTTTCAATGTAAGTTGTTTAAGTTGCTTCTTTTTTTTTTTTTTTTTTTTTTTTTGTGCTAAATGTGCATGCGTAAACATTAAACGTGCATGCGTGGCATTAACCGCGCATACAAAAAAAAAAGTTCGTTACTTTGAGATCCGGATTATAGATCATTCCGGATAGTGGACGTTCGGATTACACACTTTGTACTGTATACACAAATTATTAATCACATCACCAGAAAATAATCCCAATTATAAAATCAGTTACTCTATATATGAATATATATTTACTTGGCTATTACTCTCAATCTAACCCTTGACTATTATAATCTGAATAAAGCTGCACTTCCTTAAAATGCATTCCTAGAGATTGTTGATATAATTTATTGTTAGGCAATGTTTTGTTAAATGCAACCAATCTGATAATAATAACTTTATTTGTTAATTATCTGTAGTATGCAATACTGATAATATAAATATGGCAGACACATGTTAAAACAGCATATACTCTATTTTTCATTATAATGTTGTTCTTAGAGAATGTAAAAATAGAACAGTTTAAAAAGCAGCACTCTAGAATTTAAACTTAAAAGCATATGAATTTTGAAATATTTAACTGTTGAAAAAAACTAAATGTTGTTATGAAAAGAAGGTAATCTTTTTAACTAAATATAAAAATATCTTTAAACTTACTTTACCATATACCAATTATGGTAAGATATTTTAATAATAAGACAGAACTATTTGCAAAATATTTTGAAAATCGCCAGATACTATATAAAAGCATATAAAATAATCATACTACAGACAATTTTAAAATTACCTAGCTTTATTATAAACATTAATTTTTATTACTTTATAATTTTAATATTAAAAATACTGAAATTTTAATATTATAATACACTTAGTTTTGATAATTTTAATAACTATTTGGTAACTTAATAACATAATAATTTGACAGCTATTATATATAACAGACATATTTTGTTCGACAAATGAATTATTTGAGTGAAGATCAGCTAAAATTTGAGAACAGTCATTTAAAAAGCAGCACAGACTTTTTTCGTAAAGAAGTTAAATATATTAAATGAAGTGCATTTATGCAGAATTTAATGCGATCAGTATAATGTTCTTAAAAAGAGTAATTTTTATAATTCAATAAAACATTACTCCTATTAATACTAATGAATGGCACAGGAAGTTTTAAAAGTGCAGTATTTAAATAAATAAGTTTACAAAAGAATAATAATAATTTTATATCACCTGTCTATAAAATCTCTTCGTGATGCAGAGGGCATATGTTCATAAGGGCGGTCAAAACCAGGACGCAAATGAGGGTGGTGATCTGGTACAACTCCTGGAGACTCATTCCTGTCATTGTCATCACCTCGTTCACTACCAAAATATTCACTTCCATAGCGACTATCCCGCTCTGGATGGCTGAAAACTCGTTGGTAATCCTGTTCCCTCAGGTCAGGCTAAATTAATTAAAATTTAACTAATTTTAATTGCTTTTAAATTTTAAGTATTGAATAATAAAACTGAAAGAATTTTCAGATTATATAATTTCTGAAATACTTTCTTTGTTTACAGAGGACCATTATGTGGAACCTCAAAAAGGAAGAGAGGGGAATGAATAAAGTCATGACCCAACAAACCTCAGGTCTCTGTATTCTTTGAGCAATTGAACCACCATCTTCTAAAGGATTTTCAGGTGCCCATCCATTAGAGAAAACTGGCCTGTAATTGCTTTCATAGCCTTTCCACTGATCCCTACAAAAGTAAAATTTCATTAAAACAATTTGTTCAAATGAAAAATATCTATAGACAAATGGGTTATGCATTATATTTTCCAGACAAACTGAAGTCTGATTATTTGCATTTGCAAAAACTACTAATGAGGAGATATTTACAGGTAACTCCATGCACATGTCTGAGATCTACAGAGCTTTTATGGTTTAAATCTATTTATTTCCAATAAAACTGAAACTTTATATTTCTGAAACAATTTAGTGAAAATTTTTGGTCTCAAAATTATTTTAAATAACAATTTAAAAACATTTATGCATACAAATGTTACTCATAAATGAAACTGACTGTAACAATTTTTCTTGATTTTATAAACATAAATAAGGGGTACTTGCATATAATCCCATCAACCATGAAAGTTGGCAGAGATCCGCCAAAGTTGCGCCAATCATTCTTGCATAATTCTCAAGGAATTAACATCTCTATATGTAATAAACAATCAATATTCGACCTATTCTGTTTCTGAACTTCATAAAAAGGCTTTGATCAATCTCTATTATTTTGTTAGATTCTCCGATTTTAAAGGAAGCTCTGTTTAGAATGCTATGAGTACAGACTTTCCTATAAAAATCGTAATATCAAATGAAAGCACAGACAGTCTAAATCTGTTGTTACATCATGATTATCCATTATACGCCAAATAATGCTGCTTAAAGACAGTTTCAGGTCAATGGGGTAATGCATTACTGTCAAAAAATGCAATCAAAATGCATAAAAATATAAAAATAAATGAATGTTGTAGATTTATAAGTTTAATTTAAAAACTTTAATTATATAAAAACTGTACAAATAAAATTTTATTTTCATTTTTTATTATGCATGTTTACTTATTATGGATATTCAAATATACACAGAATAAGCCATTACAGTCAAAAGTCGTTAATTCGGACACACATAATCCGGAATGATCTATAATCTGGACCTTAAAGCTACAAACTTTCTGCACATGCGGCGCATAGACGTAAGATCTTAACGGCTGCAAATATGCATGTGCGCATGTGCAAAATACGTTTACGAATGCACGTTTAATGTATAACGGACGGTATAAGCTCAAGCTTAAAAATTATCTAATTCAGTTAATGTTGATGATTGCGTTGTTCCTTAATCTTCGAATTGGATCCGGCTTATTATTTTTTACAGACTGTAAGAGCAATTTTATAAAAGTAAGCTTGAACTTTCGATTATGTCAAATAGAATTTCCGATATATATTTACTAATATGTAAAGGATCTACGAAAACGAATGTATGTTTCGATGTCCATCAAACAAAAAGTGGAATTGCTCCAAGAAATGGATAAAGGCATATCCTTTGTTTATTTAACCGTTTAAATGTTTGTTTATCAAATTTTGCTTTATCTTTGCGCGGGGGAGCGGGTGCGCAATGAACTGGAAGTTGATATGTCAACATTATCGTTATCTTCAGGGCAGATGTTTTTATTTTATTCGGCTTATAATTCCTTATTAAATGTAGTATTTCATCTCGACTTCAACGTGGAACTTTGTATATGAAAATCAAATTCCTGGTCATGTTTACAGAATTAAAGCGAAATAGTATTTTCACATAAAAAACGGCTATGCATACTTAAACTACTTACGCATGCGCGCGTGAAAGAAATGTTTAATAAAGTAAACAAATAAATATTAAGCTTTTTTTTGTAAATTTTGATACCTGTGATGTATGGGTGACACCAACCAACGAGATGTATAGAGGGCGCTAACTCTCAGTCTGGAGAGCCGCCAAAGGTTTAGTTTCCAAGAGGGAGACCGACAAAGAGGTCATACGGAAGGCTCGTGGGAGCCATTAATGAAATCGAAATTCACTTTTATTACTTTATATATTTCAGTTATTAGTATTGTAGTTTAGTATTAGTTTTGTGTTTGTAAAATAAATGTTTAAAAATACAAGAAGGTGGAGTTATTTCTCTATGAGGCGGTGGATGAAGAACGGGATGATATCACACGCTCTCTTACGAGAACCAGAGCTTTAGATGACGGTAGAGAAACTTCAAGAGAAGCAGGTAGGAAGCTTTTGATCTTATTTACTCAGAGTATAGATGTATTGAAGATATATATATATGTGTGTAAGATATATATAAATTAAAATGTATAAGAATACTAAGAAAGAAGACTTAGTAAACCTTCTTGGTGAAATTGAAGATACACAAACTGTTGGTTGACAGTGGTTCAACTAAAAGGTAAAGTTGAGGACAGTAAAATATTTAAAGATGATCCAGAATTTGTAATTGGATTATTAAACTCAATAGTTGAGGAAAGAAAAATCAGAGAAGAAAATGAAATAAAAGCTGCTAGGGATACACAGTTAGCCTTAGAAGCTCAAAAGGTTGAACTTGAAAAATTTAAATTAGCGCAGCTAGAGAAAGAATTAGAGTTAGAAAAAGTTAGAAGTCAGAATACAGTTAAAGATGGATCTCGTGCAGATAAAGACATGATTACAGGTTCGGGAAATTATTTAGAAAATTTGATAAAGAGTGTTAAAACGTTAACTATTCCTGTTCCTGGAAGATCGGAAAATTTCAATTTGTTTTTTCAAACATTAGAGAGAGCATTCACAACTAAAAATGTACCACAGGAGCTCAAATCCGAAATTTTGATTAACATTTTAGGGGATAAGGCAACTAATATATTATTTTACACTAATGATGAAGAACTAAAATCTTATGAAACCATTAAAAAACTAGTATTAAAAGAATATCAGCCAACTGCTTATGAATGTTTAATGAATTTCCGAAGAGCACGACGCGATCCTAAAGAGTCACATGTTCAGTTCGCTTCTAGACTGTCTGCAAATTTCCAGTATTACTGTCAATTACGTGAAGTTAATGACTTTGATGCACTTTGTCAACTAATGATTTCCGACAAACTTTTCCAAACGTTAGACAAAGAAACGGCAACATTACATTAATATTAAAACAGGAGAAAATTGGTTAAAACCTAAGGATTTAGCTAAAGAAGTTGACCTATGTATTTTGTAAACAAAGGCAAATCGTTAAACGAAACCACTTTTAACACTAATGAAAACATAGCTAAATCGTCCCACTCTTCAAGAGAATCGAAATATATTCCGCCTCATATGAGAAGCAACACAAATAAAAATAAATATCCACCCAAACACTGTTACATAGGTGGAAAATTAACGCATCTTGCTAAATCTTGTCCACAAAGAAACAAATCGGTAACACAAAACCCTCCTCTAAAAAAAGAAACACCAGAGAAAAATACTAATGATAAAGTAATAGCAAAAATCGGATCTTCATGCTTGTCAAATGAAAGTTTTATACAACCATTGCAAAAAGTAAATATTTGCGTTGCAGGTAACGAAATCAAGCCATAATTGATTCAGGTGCTGAAATTTCTGTTATAAATCCGAAACACATATCAAATTTCTCTATTGAGAAAAACAACTGTAATATTGACCTAATTTCGGCATTCAGAGAAAACCATATCAGCTAAAGTGGCTAGAATTCCTCTATCCATCAAAAATACTGATAATCCTAATTTATTGAAACCTGTCGAAATATTAGTAGCTTTAACATAAAAACTTCATATTCCCTGCGTAATTACTCCAAATGTTATGATTTATTGACCTCTGAATCTCATCTGCTTAGCGCGAATCGTGATTGCGACACAGTGTCTCCATCGCAGATACCGAAAGTGAGGAGTCATCAGTCAAAACAATTCGAAGTCGAAAGCCGCGCTGATTTATTTATGACAGGAGGAGAGCAAGATTTAGTCATAAGTTGCATTCAGGGCGAAAACGAAAGTGGGGTAGGTCAACATTCAGATGCCAGTATTTTTAAACAACAGCAAAGGGAATGTGAGACATTACGCAGTATCTATAAAAAATAAATATTTTTCAATGGATGATCTGATTTATCATACCGAAAGAAATTTCGCGCAAAAAATAAAAATAAATATTTTTTAATGGATGACTTGATTTATCATACTGAAAGAATTTCTGGAGAACAAGTTAGTCAATTGAAAAAGTTAAGTTAGAAGTTAAACTAAAGTTAGAAGGGAACAAATTTTAAAATTGGCTCACGAATCTATTTTTGCAAATCATTTAGGGATGAGAAAAACAAAAGAAAGGATTCGTTATTCATTTTATTGGCCAAACATGTCACGAGATATTGAAGAATATTGTAAAACTTGTAAGGAATGTCAATTACAAAGTAGAGAAAGAACTAACGATCGCATACCCATAGTTCCAGTTCAGAGACCTGAATTTCCATTTGACACTGTGAATGTAGATATAATTGGTCCAATTGAACCTCCATCAGCACGTAAACACAAATATGTACTATATTTAGTCGACCAACATTCTAGGTGGCCAGAAGCTGTCCCTTTGAGAACTATTACAGCAAAATCAACATGTGACGCATTATTAGAAATCTTTATGAGAACGGGCATACCTCGGGTAATAGCTAGCGATCAAGGTACCAATTTTGTTGCAGAATTAACACAAGAATTCCATGCTAGATTAGGAGCAAGTCCTAGATTTGCAACACCAGGACATCCACAAAGTTCGGGATTAGTTGAACGGTATAACCAAGTTCTAAAACGTATGCTTCATCATATCATTAGAAACGACTCTAAAAATTGGGACAAACATATACCATACCTGTTATTCGCTTACTGCGAAATTCCAAATTGTACTACGGGAGTATCCCCATTTAAATTAATGTATGGAAGAGAGGCCAGAGGTCCGTTGTCAGTATTAAAATCGTCATGGTCAGGAGAAATTCCATTACCAATAAAATTGGGTAAAAGTGCTGTTGATTATCTACAGGAGCTAAAGATGAATTTAGAAATAGCAGCAGAGCAAGCATCTATAACTGCAGAATTGAAACAAGGTGCATATGCAAGATATGCTAATCGAAGGGCTATATATAAAGAATTCAACCCTAGAGATCAAGTGTACCTGCTGATTCCAGTATTCCATAATAAATTATATGCCAGATGGATAGGACCTGCAGAAATAGTATCTCGTTGTAATCCAGATTCTTACAGAGTCAGACTGACAGATGGTACAATAAGAAGAGTACATGTAAATAAAATTCGAAAATTTAATCCAAAAGTACAGGCAGTAGGTGTAATATTTGAGAACGAAGAAGAACTAGGAGAAGTCCATCCCACACCCAATGTGAGTGACAAGTCCGATCATTTTCATCTTAGCGAAGTAAATTTAAGCCATTTAGATGATGATAAAAGGAATGAAATGATGAACTTGTTAAGAAAATATGAAAACGTATTTATAAATAAGGTACAAACTGCAAGAGTAGGAGAACTGTTAGAAACTGTTAGAACTACAGTTTTCCGTAAATCTCAAGAAATGTTCCTTCGCTAAAACTCATATTAAGTATCTAGGACATATAATCGGTTCCGGCAGTCATCGTACAGATCCAGAGAAAGTGGAGGCTATCCAGAAATTAGCTAGACCTCAAACAAAAAAACAATTGAAAAGCATTCTAGGCCTATGTAATTATTACAGAGACTACATTCCACATTATGCCGAAACAGCTTATCCATTAACCGAGCTCACCAAAAGAAGAAGTCCTGAAGAGCTGTACTGGACAGAAAAACACGACGAAGCATTCATTAAATTAAAGAAATGCCTAATGGAAGCACCTACTCTTTATACCCCTGTTCCAGGGTTACCTTTTATAATTCAATGTGATGCATCTTCAACAAGTGTTGGAGCCTGCTTATCTCAAAGGAAAAACGGAAAGTTGTACCCGATTAGTTACGCCAGCCAGAAACTTACCAAAACACAACAAGCATGGCCAACTATCGAGAGGGAAGCTTATGCTGTTATTTGGAGCTTGAAAAAGTTTGAAACTTGGATTTTTGGATCACCTGTGGAACTGATAACTGATCACAATCCGTTAACTTTCATCACAAAGAACGCACCACAATCTTCTAAGTTGCAGAGATGGGCTTTAGCATTACAAAAGTATGATACTACAATTTCACATTGCCCAGGTGCTAAGTTCAGCAATGCTGATGCGTGGTCCAGACTAGAGACTATTGAGTGACTTGTGTGAAAGAAAGAACTTTTCATAGACATTTATGAACTCTTAATATTATTATTTTTTTTATGTGCGTGTTTCTTTTTCAGCTACTCTCCTAGAGACTTTTAAGTATATCATAGACGCTTTAAGTATTCTATTGCATTAGAATTGTTTGAATACTAATTTTAATCATTTATATGTTACAGTTTTAGAAGAAGTCTTGTAGTAGGTGTAGAACTAACCTGTATAAGTATTGTGTTACATATCTTTCAACTTCAGTATCGATTGATTTGTAGACTTTAGTAGGTAAGTAACTCTTTTGTTTGACGTCACCATAATTTGTCATATTTCAATAGGCTTTCACCCTATTTCAATCTTGGATGGGGGGTGTGATGTATGGGTGATGCCAACCAACGAGATGTATAGAGGGCGCTAACTCTCAGTCTGGAGAGGCGCCAAAAGTTTAGTTTCCAAGAGGGAGACCGACAAAGAGGTCATACGGAAGGCTCGTGGAAGCCATTAATGAAACCGAAATTCACTTTTATTACTTTATATATTTCAGTTATTAGTATTGTAGTTTAGTATTAGTTTTGTGTTTGTAAAATAAATGTTGAAAAATACAAGAAGGTGGAGTTATTTCTCTATGAGGCGGTGGATGAAGAACGGGATGATATCACAATACCCTTTAGATCATAATTGTTCTTCATAAATTATGGTTTCATATTATTAATTTTATAATTTCTGCATGCCATCTTACCAGATTTAAACTGATTATCTATAATCCGGAATTGCCGAAGTCCCGACGAGTCCGGATTAACGACTTTTGACTGTATTTAATTATTTAAATTTTTGAAAAATTTATATAGCATAAAATGAAACAGAATGCAATTAAAACTCACATTCCTGAAAATTTATGATTTACACTAGCAAAAGTATACTCATTCCTAAAAATGACATAGTTTTACCTTGGAATAATCCAAGAATCTCCCAGACTGTGCCATAAATCAGTTTCCTTGGAAGTACAACAATTAGCCAAAAGCTCTATTGCATCTCTTGTAAGCAGAGGACTGACAACATTAGCTGCAAGATTGGCATTATGATTAGAATCACGAGCTGCATCAATGATTAGAGCAAGAGGGGTAAAAAGAAAATGTACTAATTCTGGAGCATTGGGATCATGTATATGACTTTTTAGTTTTGCCTGGAAACAGACAAAAAAAAGCTTATAAATAGAAATATCTGCAAAAATGTTTAAGTAATAGATACATGCAACATAAATAATAGATACATACATAATAATAATAACAATACCTACACAAATCAAAAATAGAATTTCAAATGACTAAAGTGTATCAAAACATTAGCTGTGCTAAAAAATAAATATATATTGAATGTCAAACAGGTAGAGAATAAAATATTTTACTTATGCATTAATGAAGTACAATAATTCATCTGAAAAGAACTAGAAATATCTGTAAAACTTAAAATATATTAAATTATGTTGTAAGATTGGTATACAGCTGCTATATGTATGGTATATGAAGTTTAATACTACACATGGGCTTCAGTAAATGTCAAGTATAACACAGATTGATTGCACATCATTTGTGAATTGAAGAAGTTAATAAATATTAATCTTTTCATAATGTGGACATTTCCAGGATGAAAACACGGCATGGAAAACAAATTTGACACATCAAGAGAAATATTTCAACAGAATATAAAATAGAAGTTATTTGATAACTGACAGTATCCCATTTGCAAAAAAGAATTACGACTCCCATATTAAGGCATAAATTTATTGTTATTTCATAAATCAACAAATAAGAAAATTTATCTTCCTGGCAAAGTTATACAGGTGCAAGTCTACTTAACATTGAGTAAATGGCTATCTCACTAAACTGGCAAGATATGGCCAAGCTGGCAATGGTTTTGGCGACTAATATTGTGACCTTACTTGGCGAGAAATCGCAAAACTTAGCGACCATTTGGTCCAGTCCCAGTGTAACTGTAATAGGTACTGTAATTGAATAATTAATTGATCCTTTATGTAGCTGTAATCATATCCAGCCCTCATATGCCTTCCAGTAATTTCAAGAAATGGAAAGTACTAGAAATCTCTTGGTAGCTGGGAGAAAATTATACAAGACCAAGGAGAGCATCAGTTTCTCAGTTTAATAGTAGTAGTTAGTTCAGAGCTGAATTTGGAGTACTTCGCTCTTTAGATGTGCTTTGCAATGCATTTTGTTTAATGTTCTTAGTAGTTTGAAATGTAACTACTGATTATACTGCATGATACTGTAAAGAGCTGTATGAGTATTTTGTGGAAAGTTCCGGAACCGTGAAGTGTTTCTTATTGGTAAAATAAATTTTATCAAGCTATCATTGGTTCTACATGCATTTAATCTATTACTAAAACATATGCTTGCAACAGTATCAGAATTCAGAAGAAAAGACATGACTACTTCCTTTGGAGATATTCAGGTATGCTATTTTGAATTATAAATACATATCTGAAAATTTGGCCAAATGTTTTAAAGCTGAAAGATTAATTAATGTATATATTGATAAATGCATAAAATTACTTTGTTTAACTAAATTTAGACTTCTTCCTACAAAAATCACACAATGGAACTAATTACAGTATAAACTGGCAGATTTTGGATGTGAATATATGGACCTCTGGACCATAGGCCGAAAAATAAATAAATAAAATAACAATAGAAAAAATACCCCTCCCTTTTAGAAGTCTAGTAATGCAAAATATAATAACAAAAGGAAGAATGTGTGCTGTAAATGTAATTTTTCTCCAGGTTAGCTGAGTTTCCTGCTTGTCACTTCAAACACAAACTGGCTAGGGAGTCACACCATGGCCAATAGCAATACACTGACTGACACTATATCGAGGTTGGCCAAAATCACACATTTCACAATTAATTTGTTGTGAAGGTGGCAGGGCATTTTTGGCGCTTGATGCAATCTCTACAGGTCCTAAATTATGCTGTCTGGTACCTCTGTAAATTCTAAAAATTTTGGTCTTCTTAAATTCCTACCCAGTGCTTCTCCTAAATTCTAATGTCAACCCTAATTTTTGTTGCTTGGGTACTCCACTAAATTCTAAAATTTTTTGTCGCCCCTAAATTCTGACACATGGTTGCACCTGCTCTGATGCTGAGCTGTGTGATGTTAGCATTTCCTATCTTAAATAATAGTTAAACTTTAATACTGTCATGTCTACATGTCATCTTACTAGATTTAAACTAATGACTTAAAAATCTGGAATTGGAGTTTCAATGATTCTGGATCTTGGACTTTGCACTGTGTAATTAATATTTACAGTACAAAGAAAAATAGCAAAACTTGCACTTTGTTTATACATGTGGGCATTTCTTTAAACAATATGTTCACAAACTATGAAAAATGAAACAATACTAAAAGAATTATACTTCTTTTTTTTTAGTCAGATATTTTTAATAAATAAATGATTACTAATTTTTAAAAAGTAGAGTAGAACGTACTTTAAACACATTTTGCAAGAGATAAAAAAACTCACATATCTTAAGTAAAAATTAATGGCTTTGAAAAGTATAAGCAAATTTATTACTTCGCATTTCATCTGAAGAAGACCAAACAATCGTACTATAACTTACCAGCAAGTTAAATGACAACTTGAACTTTTGCAAGACATCAACAAATTCCCTTTCAGGAGGTGGTTTTGCTCTAATACTTAACATACCATCTATTAAAAAAAAAATAAAAAACCATTAAATAATAAAAAATTATATAAAAGCTACAGAAATGTCAGCTAAATACATAATCTGTACAGTAAAAATGTTATTATAATGTTATCAAATATCTACTTTATCATCCATATGGTAAAGCTAAGACAAATATAGCAGAAGAATTTCAGATCTCCCCAATTAAATTTTACAATTATGGTAAGCACTAAATCCTTTTTAAAATATAGAGAAATACACATTAATTATGCCTTCTTGAATAATGTATAATCAAAAAATGTGATCAAGTTGTTCAGCATTTAAATTACATGACCACACATGAAAAATTTAATCAACAAAACAGACTCCTGGAAAAAAAGCAGCATGAACTGCAAGAAAAATCTACATTTTGCACAAATTTCTGAACATCAATAAATTGAAAAGATTTTTTTAAACATAGTAAAATTAACAATTTTTTTAAAAGAGGTATATCAGGAAAATGAGTATAATTTATATTTTAATATATAAATTTTACACTCCTCCCCCCTCGAAAAAAAATCTTTTTTTACACTAAAAAGGAAAAAAATTCAATTAAGCCTGGGGGGGGGAGACAGAAAAGGTACGAACGATATATAACCACATTTTTTAAACACATTTAAAAACAAATGACTAAAAATAACTTTTCATAATGTAATTAACAACCACTGCTAAATCACATAATTTTAATTTTAATAATAATAAAAAAAATTGATACACACCACCCATATCCTTTTTTTTGTGTTTTCTATTCTTCTGACGTCGTTCAAGTTCTTTGTAGGCTGCAGCTGCATGCTGAAGTCTCACTACAAATCTCTCTATGTCATCAAAACAATGATTCAGGATTGTCTAGAAAAATCAATTAAATAATAGCAAACATGTTCAGATTTCATTTTAAAATTATGTAAAAGAAAAATTAAATTTAGCACAACAAATAAAGTCACTAAAATAGTAAAACCTGAAAATTTTTCAATGGTAAATTAGAGTTGAGATTTGTGTTTATACGATTTCACATATTAAATACTAAAATTACTATGCAAGTTCAGAAACATAGTTCAATATACGTGGATGACTACTTCAGTTCACCTATATGGTTCAATACATATCAGTTACTACTTAAGTTCCATTGAGACAAAATAAGAACTATTTTTAATATTACACTTATTAAATATAAACCTTAATTTGGTCAATCAGAACTTAAGCAGTCGGACAAATTTTATAGAGAATTAGAAAACTGTTTTTATAAAACTCACCACTTCTCTCTCATATTTGTCACTAGTTGTTGAACTGGTTTCATCATTTGACTCACGTGCATAGCCTGCTGCTGCTCTCTCAATTCGTTGTTGAAGAACTGAACCACCTCTTGGACCAGAAGAATCTAAAACATAAAGGAATTCATAGTAAAAACATTTTTTTTTTTTTTTTTTTTTTATATAAAAAAAAGCTATAGGCTAGAACAAACTACTATAAAAGCTTACGTATAGGTGGTGTTGATGATGCAGAAGCACTAAACATAGCAACTTGGTCCCGAACTTTAGAACTATTACCATTGATTGGCGGATCAGGAGGTGGATTATGAGGAGGTGGTGGCAAATGTCTAATATTTTCAGTGGTTCTAAAGCAGAAGCATTTAAATTAAACACAAAAAAACAAGAAGATATTTCTAAATGTGATAAAAGAATGCCTTTCATGCAATCTAGAGCATGCAAAATACAAATAAGCTATTAAATATTTAAAATAAATGTTCAAAACAGTATTACATAAACCAAAAAAATTAAACTGCTAAAACAAAATAAGTATTTAACAATATACTGCTTATCTAAAAATTTAAAATTGCTGCAAAAATTAAGCTAAATCTTTTGTTTTAAATTTAAGAAAATAATTAAATTAAAACTTAATATTGCAAATTCAGACAAAGGTTTCTAGCTTAAAGTTATACCAGACTGAACTAATTAAAAGCATTAAAGCAAGTAGTACTCATGCTGAAAGGCAACGCTCAAAAGTAGGTGTTAACCTGATTTATATTTCCTTGTCTTGAATGTCAGGTGGGAGAAAAAGGAATGCAAATGAGACAAGTTTCTTTCTTAACACACTAAGTAGACAGCAGCTTTGGGACAGTTTTCAAGTGTGTGTTCAGTTTTTAAAATGTTTTAAATAAAATTAGGATTTTATTCAATGAACTTACTTTGCTCTAACTTTGCCTGACATATACATTTTCATTTCATCAACTACATCTTGAGCCTGAAAATCAAAATATAAAGTAGAACACCTTACTTCAAAACTACATACTGCATATTGCTTTAAATTTTAGTTTACTTACAAGAACTTAAACAACATTTATTCCAAAAAACTAAATACAAACACAGACAATTTGCAGAAATTTAAGATAAATTTCTTGTCACCTAAACAAGCAGTCAAACATTTTTAACAGCATTCATCTGAGAGGCTAAAATACAACAGTATTAAAACAAATAAAAACTTTTAACACATTTTTAATAATTGAAAATAAAAATTCATAATATTTATAAATTCCAAACACAATGTAGTTAAATTGATAGTTTTAACATTTCTAAATATATCTGTCCATCTATAATATTTAAAAATTGCATGATTCAAGTAATTCTAACACAATTCATGCAACTTCTAAAATTAAATAATGAAACAATAGTAATTTTATAACCATATCTAAATACTAATATGCACATTCAGATTTCAACAACAGTAAATTTTAATAATCATAATTAAACACAATAAAGTGTTTTCATAATTTAATGTCTTTGTTAATCATTTATCAGCATGCATAAATGATACTTAAGTATTAACACAACCACCTTGGCACAATTTGGTGATTTGTTACAGATAAAAGAGTAAAAATTATTCAGTGCAAGTTCGTAGTTTTGGAGTATTTTTTTTAGAAAGATTCTCAAAATATTGATATTTATCTAAATTAACAGATGTTATCAACATGAAAATAAAGTATACTTCAATGATTTAAAATTCAAATTTTAATTATTAAGATTTCAGGATACTTTCAAAAAATAAAACACTTTCTTCAGTAAATCTTTCTGTAAATTTTTCAGTTCACAGCAATCTGTTTTCACTTAAACACATGTTAGAAAACTGCAGAGACTTCGCATCATACAAACCTCAGCAACACTGGCTATCTACCAAACGTATCTCTTCTTTGTTCTATTTCGAGATTTTGCAACAAAATTCTGTATTAATGCAGAAATTTACTGCCTTTTTTTTACATTACCGGCAAACTCCACAAGCACACATTTTAAAATTAAGCTCAATATAAAAAGTATCATTATTTGTTTATAAAAGCCTTTTTAACTTAGAACACAACCAGAACACATCTGAAAATCGCAATATTGCTTGACTAAAGAATTATTGACAGTTTGGTTGCCTGAAGAAGGTTGAAGAAAGTTGGATGGTTGCACATGGTTCTGAAAATTTGGCAACTTCTACTATGGTGGTTGTGATAACATGCAAGTACCACAAATATTAGCTATTTGTAGAATTTTGGGCTGAATTATGAGCATGTTTTATATTTACCTTCCCTCTTTCAGTTTTTCTAAAATATTAGTTTTTCATTGGTAAATGTACAAAAAATTTTCATTTGCATCTGAAAAAAGTGTTTTCATAAATCAATGATAGAGTTGGAACAATTTAAACACTTGTTTGACTGTCAAGATGACTGCTTCAAAGCCATATTTACTTATAAAATTATGTGTTACCTATTCAAAGTAAATCTTAAAAGAAATTTTTTCATAATTCTGTTTTAACACTAAAATGTAAGTAATCAAATAATATACAAGATTTGTACAGATCCAGAAATCAATCACATAACTTAGAGGATAGGAACCTTACAGAACATAAGGGTCTATGCCATTTACTTTTGTCCTTTTGGCATACAAAACACATTTTAAATTTTATACAAGAGCAGAATTTTTTCTTCATTACACATATCACGAAAGAAGGAAGTGAAAACACATACTATGAATTTTTCAAAAATATATAAATAAAAGTATTTTTTCTCAGCAACATGATGTGACAGTTATTATAGTAAAGTACGAAAATGCCAATTTTTCGACTGAGATTAAATTTGCAAATTTCATATGAAATGAAAAGTTCAAATATTTTTTAAGTTTCAAATACTACAAGTTGTTTTTTAGTAACCTCATATTACAAAACGAAGTGTATTACATAGCTGGAAACAGGCAGAAGGCAACTGACATCAAATTCTGCACAAAGAATGCCAGGAGCTTGAGTACGCATTTATTTTCACATATGTGCAAAATTTCAAATGGTATTCATAAATGGACCTTATTTAAATAATAACCACTTATTTCAAAACCTTTTGAGCTTCTGAAAAATGCCATACTTCCAGGTGCTTTTTGAAAATCATGCAAAAACATTTGAAATCTAATTAACAAACATTTTTAAAGAAAATAAAATAACAGGAATGAAAAAAGAAAAAAATTACATAAACTCTGGCACACTGAAATATGTGCATCTCTGACTGGTTAGGGTTCTTGCTCTTTGGGTCTTCTCTTACAATGAAAACTAGAATGTTATTGTACAGTTCACGAGGATCATCACTAGTATATGCAGTAGGGTCACTGATTAAGTTCATAGGGAACTTTTCCACAACATCCTGTAAAAAGAAGTAAATAAATAAAAATAAAACTTCCTTTCAAAATAAATGCAAAAAATAGCAATCAGAGTAACCTATGTACAAGGAAAATTATATTTTATGGTTATTTAAAAAAAAAGGGGGGTATATATTGTGCTCTTAATTTTGCTTATACAATTATAAATAAAATGTTGCATAGTAAACTGTAAGAAGGAAGCAAAACTTACTCCATCTTCATAATCTAAAATAAGAACCCAGTTTTTGTCAAGTTTCATCTGCATTTTCTGAGTCCAAATGCCATTAGTTTTTTCCATTTGTAACAGACGACGAAGGCCATCTTTTGGAGATACTAAACCTTTTAGGAAAAGAATCTTTAATAATTAAGATCAAACACAAAACAAAGATATTAGATCAAATTAGAATCAAAATCAAGAACTTTTTTTAATGTGTTGCTGTATCTTGCAATGACATCTGATATACTTATCTTCAGGTATACTAAGGATTAAACATTTATCTTCAGGTATACTGAATCATTTCCTTCACGTGAATATTATTAATCACCAAAAAGGGCGATAAACATTCTATTCTGGTTAAGCTCTAATAAAAGAACTAAGAAACTGGCAACACTTCACTTTTCATGTTGATGTGAACAGGGATGGTGCACAGCCCAAATTTAATGACAGTGAAATGATTATCAAACATATATTTCTGAAAGAAAGGACAGCCAATTTTGATTTGCACATGGGCAGCCGACAGTCTAAGATCAGTACTGGATGTGAAATGGCCAAAATAGAAAGCTCCCTCACATAATGACAGCTTAAACTTTGTTGAAAATCATATGTATTGTAAAATATTTAACTACTCATGTTACTCATTAAATATATGCTAATGTATTACACATATTTTTTAATTTGCCATTTCATACGCAATCAAGTTTGGATTACAAAAGAAGACCATGGTGACACACCATACTACCAAGACGACAAGGTAAGAAAATTGTTTCTTTTCTTTAGTTCATTAACTATTGTATAAATACAGGGTGCGGCAGAGAAACTACCTTATTTTAAAATGAATAACACAAATAGTATAAGCGATATCACTTTAATTTTTTTTTTTTTTTAAGTTATATAGAGACACTTAAAGTTTTTATTTTTTATTTTTTATTATGGTTTAAAAATAATATCATTAAGGTGGCCTCCGTTCTGGTCAATGCATTGAGATAGTCGAATTTTGAAGTTTCTTTCCACTTTTCCCAGCATATCAAGGGTATGTTGTATATCAAGGGTATGTTGTATAGCAGCTTGAATATTGTTCTTCAGTTAAGCCACGGTCTCTGGACGTTAAGAGATTTCAGATAGCCCTACAAAAGAACTCACACGGGGCTACATCAGGTGAGCATGCTAGCCACAGAAAATTGAACCGTAAGGAGATAGTGTCCAAGAAAATGTTCTCAAAAAAAAAAAAAAAAAAAAAAAAAAAAAAAAAAAAAAAAAAAAAACCATGGTCTAATGATGCCTATTCTGGACAATGCACACCAAACAGGCACATATTCTGCTCATGAAGTCTTGGGGATTCATGCCAGTCCAATATTGCATGTTTTGCTTATTCACGCAACCAGAAAGATGTAACGAGCTTCATCGTTAAAGAGCACAAGGATATCATGAGGCATACTGTCAAGAACGGCTTTGCATGCATTTTTTCATGAAAGAAAATCGTGTGGATTAAGTTTTTGCCAAATTATATGGATGAAAATACAATACGTTGAAAAGTATACCATTCCATGGTAAATGCGTGCTCTCTCTCGTCCACTACATGATTGGTACTAAACCTATCTGACATTAAATGTTAGACACCGTTCTTTCCAATGAGCCTCACCCCACCCTTTTCGGAATAAATGTTGCTAAATGGCACGCATTTCAAATAAGGAAGTTCCCTTGCCACACCCTGTATTAGCAACAAAGATTATGAGGATATTATTATTCCTGATAGAAAATCATAGACCCTTAAAAAACTGTTATGGCATTAGATTGTAGTTTTATACATAAACCAAAATTAAATTTATAAAGACATAAAAGATGTCGCATTCAGATCAAATCCAAATAGTAAAACTGAATTCCAGTAATTATTCAGGATGAAAACTGAAAATGCAACTAACAATAGAGGATCTTCATGATGTATTTGAAACTGACAATGTCTCATGATGATAATTATATTTATTGAGGATAGCCAGATAACTCCTATTAAATACGAAGCTACAGTCAACGCCACTTGGGAGAAAATTGGGCAGATATACAACTGGCCTCAAGTAAATTATTTCTATTATGAAAGCTCTAGTCTGAAGCTAGAAGAAAATGGCAACAAGCAAATTCATATAAATACCACAGTAGAATTGGTTCCTAAGCTCAAAGGAATATTCGAGAACATCATATTTCAGCACTTTTGGTTGGCTCATAAGACATGCTGATAATCACTGTTGAGGCGAGATCAGAAATGGAACTAATGGCAGATATCATAAAGGGTAAATTGATCAACAAATTCAATAAAAGTGTTACAAATAATTCATCAGAATCAAAGGCATTTAAAGTCTCATTTCAAAAATAAAACAAAGAGAGAAAAATGTTGCTAATATTGTCACAAAAATAACTATTTTAGATCAGAATGTTTCCATCCAAAATCAAAACAAAAGAATAAGTCATGCCAACCCCCCCTCTCCCCGAAAAAACACACATGGATTTTAAAAATCACCAAATAAAAAATACATGTAACCTTGCATAATGAATCAAATACAAACAAAAAATAAAACAATGGAAATTGACTCCAGATGTAGCACCAAACTTTCTCTACTAACAATATCGTACTTCAATGATCAGAAAGTTTTGCTTTTGAGAGTGTAGCGAGTAATCACTTAGCAAATAATACAAAATATTTCACAGAATTTTAATGCACAAATCCTTCCAATATTCATATTCATAATAGTGAATAATGAAAGTTTTAAATCCAGAGGAGTAGAAGCTGTTCATTTCAGAACATCAAATCCTAAACAGAAAATAACTGAAGTGCTTTTATCAGAAAAATATAATCTTACGAAAGTAGTGTAAAAAGGACTCTCAATTCTGTTTAAATGAACAAAATATATACATATATGTATAAAAATTTGAAAGCTTTCAGATTTTACATTATGCAGAAAGGGGCATTTTTTTAAAGTTTTGTTTGCAATCTTTATTTATTAAATATCATGTTCTTCGCACTTAAACCATAAAGTTCAGTTCAATAGCAATATCGCAAAATAATTTTAAATTGAGCATATTTTTACAATTTCCGACACACAGTCTCATGCGCTGGAGATAAATATGTTGTTTCCCCCATACAGTGTTGCCATTGCTCACTTTTAAATCATTGAGTTTTTAATAAAAAATTTGTTAAAAGTTTTACAAAATATGAAATAGGTTATAAAACAAATTCAGGCTTCCAGATGCCCATATTTGGGTGGAAACGTACATTATTCAAAATTTGATGGCTCTAGGTACCGTCGTTTTATCACAATGTAAGAAACATACATACATTTATGCAGATTCTTCTTTAATTTCTTTAAATATAATACAAGGCTTTAATATTTGGTTGCAAAAATTTGAAAATGAAACCGACATTTCAACACAAAATGCCAAAACAAAATTAATAGTCCTTCTGGGCAAATTGGTCCTTTGGTCTAATTATTCTAGAGAGTAATACAACTAACAATCTTTACAAATTAAACCAATCAAAAGAAATGATGAATCAATGGTTCACGTAGCATCTCAATGGACAAGAAAATTGCATATAAACAATAGCATAAATGCCTTGGTCACAGAAACAATGAAATGTTTAATAGCTTGTAAACAAAGAACTTGCCAAAAGAATCACATTAGACAATTGTAAAACGTGACAGCATATATAGTTCAAGCATGAAATGCAAACTGATTTTCCATATCTTAAAGAACTAAAAATTAGAGCTCCCAAACTATTTGAACTTGTTCACATCAGCGTTTTAAAACTAATGCAAAAACTGCCAGTATTTGTTACCTATATTTTATAACTATTGTTGATGATTACAGTAGATTTACAATGTACCTAATGAAAAGAAATAATAAAGTAATTTCAACACTAAAACAATTTACTGCCCTTACAAATAATAAACTATGAAAAAAGGGGGTTAGAACACTAAGAAGTGATAAAAATGGGGAATACGCCAGTAAAAAAACCTGAAGAGTACTTTACATGGTATAAGTTATCAGTTAACTGTCTTGCATTATCCAGTACAAAATGGAGTTAATAAATGCAAAAATAGATTTCTAATAAAAATGGCAAAATGTTGTATTTTAGCCAATTTTGGTTAACTGCACAAATGTCGGGCAGAAGCAATGCTTACTGCAAATTATCTACAAAATCATATCCATACAAAACACAAAGCAATAACAAGAAACCCAACCTCTCTCATCTGCAAACCTTGCATGCAAAGCTTTTGTTTAGATCTATAAAGCAAAAAGAGGTAAGCTGGATGATACTTTTACAGAAGGAATACTTGTTGGCTATGTCAGCAGAAGTAAAGGAATTTTAGTTACTGGAGATAAAATCATAATAAGTCAATGTGCCCAATTTACTAAAGAAATTGTAACCAATGAACCTCAACAAGATAAAGAATACAGCATCTCCCTCAAACAAAGAAATCATAACAAAACTTGAAAGGAAATAAAAAATGATGTTCCTAAAAAAGAAGAAATATCAGAATGAGATGAAGAATGTTTAGAACTCAGGAGGTCAAACAGAATCACAAAAGGTAAATCTAGGTGTTTCAGAAGAAATTAACTAATTAGATGAAAAATGGCACATGAGAACTAGTAGATTTACCAAAAGAAAGTAAACCAATAGGCTACAAATGGCCTTTCAGAATGAAGCTTAGCAGAAGAAAGAATCGAAAGATATAAAGCCAAATTAGATGCAAAAGGGTTTTAGCCGGAAGTTTGGATCTGACTAATGAAACTTTTGCTTCTGTGGTAAAATGCATAACTCTACAAGTTTTCTTATATACAATTTCTTACAAACATGTCCATCAGACATATGTCAAAACAGCTTTCATTGAGCTATAATAGGACACCATTTAAACTATGATTCTATGTCCCATATATCTTGAAGTACTTATATGTAATGTCTTGTTCTGGTAATGGGTATTTTTTTAATGTACATGGACTCATTTCATTTACATTTACAGCCTTCTTGTCTTTTCTTTATATGCATTTTGTTGAATTTAGGAAGTACTTTTCCTCTGCATGCATTACATTGTTCTTTTGTTCTCATATTCTTGAATGGCATAGAATTTTTTTTTTTTTTTTTTTTTTTTTTTTTTTGTGCATAATAATTATGAAAACATAGTAAATTATTATACAAGTCAAAATAATAAATACTATACAAATAACCATTTCATATGTAAATTTAAACAAAATCTAAAGGTTAATATGGTCATGGCTGATGATACCATTTTAAAAGGATTCCAATAATTAAATTCACTTTATAATTCCTGACTCAGGTTACTGATTCTGATGCAAAATACAAATATTAACTGCACAAAATACAAATTCCAATCTTGAAATATGAAAAATTGTGAGGTTTTTGAGCTGTGCTGAGACACCTTTTCAAAAGAACTCTTAAATGACTTGATCTACCTTACAATGCATGAGTCGGGTTATTGAACTGTTTATAATATGATTCTGATGTAAAATATATTAATATTCAATTAGATATTTTGAATTTTATGTTTTCTGGCTAAATTCCTTTCGTCACTTTTTACACTTTTATATAGAGAAAATCCTGAGCATGAAAAGAAAGCTTTTATTTATCAAAATACTTTTAAATATGATAAACATAATGAGAAAAATATAATTAATAATTAACATACATACTTTTGTGGGGATAAACTCAGTAATGTACCATATATTGACACAGAACAAAATTAAATACACATATCAACAATCACTGAACACCAGTTGGAACTTCACAAAATGTTCTACAAATGTCTACAGTAGATTAAAAAAATTAAGATTAATTAAGAAGTATTTTCTTTGGGCTTAAAATTAAAAACCAAGAGATTCTGTGATCTGCCAGGAGATATGATGAAAAGCTGGATGTCTCCTGATAAACCAGGATGTACAGTTAATTCATATAAAAAATATGCAAGTTGATACTTTACCAAATTCTGATCCAACTGAGAAAGTTGCCAGGTGTTCTAATAAATAACGTGGGCTACTATCATCCACAACATCACTCATTTGATCTGGAATGAAAAAATGATCGCAATATATTAAACCACTAGTATACTTCCAAAAATATCAGATGTGTATGCAAAATATAAAATTTATGATGTTCAAGACTTCAGACAAAATGGCAAATCAGCTTTTTTTCAGAGAATTAAAGAAGAGGAGGGAAAATGTTTATAAGGTATTTTTCTCCCTCCTTTCAGCAGGTGTAGCCAGAAGCATGTCTGACACAATATACAAATTCCAGAAGCATGTCTGACACGTAATCAGGAGGTCCGAAGTTCAAATCCCAGCAAGAGCACAATATATTTTTCATGTCTTCTAGATCAATAAAACCTAATGACTCTACAAATGGTGCCCGAACTAAAAAGAACTAAAAAAAAAAAAAAAAAAGAAGGTGGTGGATGATAATTCATTAGCATCAGGATTTGGCAATTTAGTTCCCTCATCTCCATTTGACTTCAGATAAAATGGGAAGTATATACAGTATTTTTTCCTTTCCATGTGGTTTTGCAGTGTAACTGGAAGCATGTCCAATGCATAATCAAAAGTTCAAATAATCAAAGTTCAAATCCTAGCGAAGGGTTGATACTGCCTTGGCATGCTACAAGTTGATGCATATAAAGTATCTTGAAACAAAACTATTTATAATTAATTCTTTTAATAAGTAAACTGAATTACCTTTTTTGACTTGGACAACACTTGTTTAAACATGAACAATTAATATTGATTAAGCTTCTATTTTTATTGATTTTGTAGCAGTTAATCTATATGAACTAATTATTTGTTTCAGGACTTCTTTAGATGTAGATCTCTCTTAATTCATGTAGAAAATTACATTTTCCCCATCTCTTTAATATAAAATGTGTCTGCTCTAAAAGCATCGACTCTGTAAGCATAAAATTCAGTTGGTGAAAGAATTTAGAAGTTCTTTATTCTAAATTATCTTTTTAATTTATGTTTCTAACTATTATGTCATCAGGTGCTGCTCATTCTTCTTTCTGATTCATACTTGTACATGAATTTATTAAAAATCATGTCCAGTTCACATAGAGCTGTTTACAAATTTACCATACAATAATGACTATATAAAACAACTTCTTGAACAGACATGAAATTAGCATTTACAGTCTTTTTAGTGTCTTGGAGTTACTAGCATCAATATATTTTGATGCTGTTGCAAGCATTTGTGTTCGTAATGGATTGAATGCACATAGAACCAATGATAGCTTGAAGACCAGAACTAACAGTGCTAAACAGTGCAAGATAGAACAGTCAAAATGTCTTCAAAGATAAGCAACCAGCAAATGTAAAATACTAAATTGGTTTCGGCTTTATCTATAGCAGTTGACGAGTTTTGTGACATACATGATATACCACAAATTTCACTTTTTGTGTGATTTATTTCATCTACAGGTCCCAAAGAACTTTTAGGATTATTGCCACTCAAAGGTCAAACATGTGGAAAGGATATAGCAAATGCTATAATTGGATGCACTAAAAAATATCCTATTCCACTCAATAAAATTGTTTCAGTTGCAACAGACGGAGTGGAAAGTATGACCAGAGTGTAAAACGGGTTTTGTTGCTACTTTGAAAGAAAAAAATCAATCACGAGATATTTACTTACTATTATATCATTCATCAAGAAGCTCGTTGTGTGCAGACATTTCCAAAAGAAATTTGCAAAACTACGGAATCTGAGATTAAGATTATCAACCTCATTATAGTTAAAGCTATTAAACATCGTCAGTTTAAAGAATTTTTAGTTGAAATGGAGAGTGAGTATGCAGATCTTTTGTTACATAACAAAGTACATTGGTTATCAAGAGGAAATATTTTGAAATTACCTTAAAATTAAAGCACCTTAAAACTACCTTAAAATTAAAGCATTTCTCCTCAAGGAGAAAGGATGTTTATTATCCAAAACTAACGAATGATCAGTGGATCCAAAAATTTTATTTCATGGTGGAAGTCACATCTCATCTAAATCAGCTTGATCAAAAACTACAGGGGAAAGGAAACACAATATTTTCGATGTTAGATGTTACGTTATTTGAAAACAAATTATCTCATTTTGCTCAAGATTTTGAAAGAGAAACTTTGATTCATGTTCCAAGCCTGTTGAAACATTGCCAAGAGAATAATCCTGATACTGACATTTGCTGTTTCAAAACAATAATTTTAAATATGAGAGAATTTTCCTCAGCAGGTTTGAGGAATTCAGAAACAACAAAGTGACATTAGCCTTTGTTAAAAACTTCTTAATACAACTGTAACAGAATTCAAATTTTTTCCCTATAATACTGACACTGGTAGCTTTGAAATCCAGTTGCTGGATTTAAAAAAGAAAGAATTATGGTGATTGAAATTGGAACATCTTAGCACTGATACAGAAACGCTGGAGAAAACAAATGCAAGCTTAGTTCACAGCACAAGTGGTCTGCTTTGAAAGACCTGGAGAAGGAAGATATATTGATTTTTAATACATGGAATAGTATTCCTGACTAATAGAATCAGTTAAAAAAACTACTTTTTGCCATTCTTTCCTTATTCGAGTCTACATATTCATGCAAACGATCATTTTCAAAAATGAACCTTATCACAGGTAAATTGAGAAGTCATCTTATTGATGAGAACTTGGAATAATGCTTAAAATTAAAAACAACAAAATAAAAACCTAAATTACACAAACTTTCCAAGCATATACAAGGTCATTGTTCACACTAGTGTTTGTTCGTCATTGTCACGATTTAAGTTTTGGGATAGCTTACAATTTTATTTTATCAATAAACAGTGTCATTATTAAGAGTAATATCATGTTTTATTCGACATACTTATTATTATTCTTAGTTTAACTAAGAATTAAAAAACTGAAGTATGCAGTTAATTTTAAGGAGTGTTGTGAAATGCAAAATTTGTAATGTTAAAAATTGAAAAAGGTATAAGATAATATATATATCTATAAGGCATAAGATTAAAAAGGAAAAAGATATAGAGAGGATGAACAAAAGAAGATATACGAAACAAGAATGTAAGATAATTGTGGATGGGAGATTGGAAGAGGGTTGACCTCAGCGAATGTGCATTGACCAGATTGAGAACTTTCTCCGAAAAAGCCAGAGTAAAAGTACCCTAATTAAGTGAATAACAATATAACTAAGTAATATAATTTAAGTTTAAAAAATGTAGCTCTCAAAAGAGATTTCAGTCATTGAACTGATGATAATTGGCTCTGTTGACTAATGTTTGCCGACCACTGATCTAGATGAGCAGTCAGTTGATATACTAGCCCCTGGACATGAGCAGCTCTGACTGGGTGGTAGTCTCTGTGGGCTGCCTCAAATTTCAGGCATATTTAAAGCATGTTTTAGATCCTTGACATCTGCCATTCACAGGGCATATTTGCCAACCTATGACACTAAAAAATCAGGAGATTTTTCACAATGTTAAAAAGACTTTTTAAATGATAAAAATACAGTTTTTAATAATGAATTAACTTTTAATAGTAACTAATTCTTAAATGCAAGCAACACAAAAATACCTTACACATAAAAACCTTTTTATTACCGTAATTTCTGGAAGAAACACAGTGGCATTTACATGTTTAAAACTTAAATTTTCAGTGGGTGCGGCGTTTAGGTGCACTAAAAATAAAATATTTCCTATGATGGTCATTGTACATAGTTTGAATAACTTTGCCATATATTATATATTACCACATAGTTTGGATGGCCTTGTCATTGTACAAAGACTGTTCCCACACAAAAGACCATTCAGTTGCTTTTTGTGAACGTTATTTTGTTTACATCCTTTCCCTTGAAGGGACCTACATGCTTATTCACCCTAAACAGGATCTCAGAACAATAACATTCTTCCCCTTTCAAATCAGCATTCTCATCATTTTGAATAGTCTCTCTTCCTCTGCCATTCGCTGAATCTTCCAGGACCCATCCTCTCCCCACCCCTGCCTTTAAATCTACTGCAATTTTTTCAAAGGTGGACACCACCTGCGTTACAATAAGGAATTCTGAGGTATTTCCCCTTCAGCATGAATCTATTTTTCTTGGCATTCTGCCAGAGACAGCTCCCATCAGTTTGGGTGTCAAATAGTTTTTAAGTAAGAAGAGAGTGAAAATTTTTTGAAAGTGATACCTAAATGGCACTGAAGTTATACTGCTGGTTTTAAGCTTGATGAAATTTCACGTGCTAAACAAATTGGAAGCAGCTCGAAAATTTGAATTGGACGAGAGATGCATTTGACGTTGGAGAACAGAAAAAGAACTTAAAAATATGCCACAACAGAAAAGAGCCAAAAGAAGTGGTACTGTAAGGTGGCCGAATCTAGAGGACGACCCTTGCAAACTGGATAAAGGAGCAACAAGGAAAGGGAATGGCAATTTCGACTGTAAAAATTCGCTTACAAGCAAAATTTACAGCAAAATAAATGAACATAAATGGTTTCAAAGGAGGGCCTTGCTGGTGTAGCAGATTTATGAAAAGAAAAAATATTTCTGTGCATACTAGAACAACAGTCGGGCAACAATTACCAATGGACTGGCAGGATAAAAAGGCACCCTTTCTAAAATATGTGAGAGATATTATTGACAGAAAAAACTTCTTCAGTCACAGATAATAAATATGGATGAAAAACGCCGTTAGCTTTCGACTCTCCTGCCAACAGAACTGTTGATGAAACTGGTGCAAAAACTGTATCTGTGCTTATGATGGGGCATGAAAGAACGTCATTTACATGTGTGTTAGCTTGTGCCACAAATGGTGACAAGCTAAAGCCGATGATCATTTTTAAACAAAAAACTATTCCCAAGGGAGATTTTCCTAATGACGTAATTATTTGTGCAAACGAAGAACGGCTGGATGTGCGAAACAATCATGCATGAGTGGCTACAAAAAGTTTGGCAGTGTCGTAAGGGATCTTTTTTCCAACCAAAAGGGTTATTGATAATGGATTCCATGCATGCTCATTTACTTGAGTCAGTGAAAACCAGATGTCAAA